TGTGACAAGGGGCTAAGATGGAGGATACGCCAACTTGTATTGCACGTTGTCCTTCCTTCTTACAGTAGTTACCTGGAAAAATACGCGTCCTCCATAGAATTTGAGGTTACTAGTACTGCAGATCAACGCGTAAAATACACAGCAAAGACCTTGGGAAATATGATCACTTGTCTATTTGAACCAACAGTGGGAAAATATGGCAATAGCACCAAATGCACAGAATTGAGTGACAAGGTAAACAATAGCTTTGTTACTAATCAACTTTCCTCCACACCAGCAGCAGCATGAATAAGGAAGCTGTCAACAATTACTCGAAAGGTGATTAGTTCATCGATAACTCCTCTTACATAAAGTCGATTAGTTTTCCAACCTTTAATCCTGAACAACTAGCTAGGTTGTTAATTGTACATGGTTTATGCATACACCTATTATCTTTTTAGGAGTATTATACTTCTCTAGGCAAAATTCTAAACTGATGATAATTATATGTTGTGTTATGTAATGTATATAACATTATAAATCCTATAATACTATGTTTTAATGGCTCAATTACATGTTGTGTTCTATTCTTACTAAGGTATTTGGTCTTTTTAACACAGGAAATTAAGTTGGTATCCTCTGTACATTTGGTATGTTAGTTCCAACCACCTTGAAACCTGACCATAACAAGTTTCTTTTTTAATTTAAAAGGTAAAGTTTTAGACTAACAACCTATGTTGTTCATGTCCTCCAAAAATGTTCCCTTACTCGTGTTAAATCCTTAAAAAATGCAAGTAGTATTCAGGGGCGGAGCTAGAAGTCTGGATACGAGTTTTGGACGAACCTAGTAATTTTTACTTACACAAAGTATTTGTATTAAGAAATTCATTAAGTATATACTCATTGAATTTAATCCATATAGAAAACATTTGTTACCACGCGCGTGAGATTTTTAAAAATTGTTGTGAAAAGTATCAAAATGACACAACAAACGTCTACTATGGGATTTTTAAAATACTCAAAGTTTATTTGAGGTGCGTAAATGATTTGAATTGGACTCTTGAAAAGTTGTCAAAACAAATAGTAGATTATATGCGGAAAGAAGTTGAAATAAGATCAATTGTATATTGCAAATGAAAATTTGTTTATCCTAACAATTATTATCAACTTTTCGGGATATTCAGAGCATTCATCTAATCGACATAAAAGTTTGACTCAGATGTATTATCTATGAAAGAGTTACTATCATACCATATAGCTTTATATAGAGTTTAAATCGTACAACAATTTATGAAGCAAATCAGGAATATACTTGTCATAATTCCAACAATATTAAATGAAGATGATATAACTCTATCAAAGAATTGGAGGAGCAAATTAATCAAATAATTCATCAACTAATAATTTAACAAATCTTATCACATTGTACTACCTATTTTGAACCAAGATTCTATCCCATTATATTTTTCTAGTACATTTTTTAATGAAGTAGTTAACAATGTGTATTACTTGATACATGTATTATTTTTTCTTCATTTAAGATTTTATTCCATCAAACTTTTTTCTAGTAAAATTTTAACTCAATATTTACTAATAAACATTCAAGAGAAAGTGTTATAGCTATATTATATTGTGAATATTCATTACACAATTTTTTAGATAAGCTTGTCAAACTTATAATTAAACAGACAACTTGCAAGTAATTTATACACCATCTTCTATTCTTTTAAAAATAAGATGTCAATTCAATTTATTTGTACATCAAATAATTCTATTTTTTTCCTCTCAACATTTTTGACTATATTTCTTGTTGTCTTGATATTTTATCTTTATTTCATCACACAATGTTCAAAAAAAAAAAAAAAAAACTCAAGATTTGATTTCTTGTACTACCTATTTTGAACCAAGATTCTATCCCATTATATTTTTCTAGTACATTTTTTAATGAAGTAGTTAACAATGTGTATTACTTGATACATGTATTATTTTTTCTTCATTTAAGATTTTATTCCATCAAACTTTTTTCTAGTAAAATTTTAACTCAATATTTACTAATAAACATTCAAGAGAAAGTGTTATAGCTATATTATATTGTGAATATTCATTACACAATTTTTTAGATAAGCTTGTCAAACTTATAATTAAACAGACAACTTGCAAGTAATTTATACACCATCTTCTATTCTTTTAAAAATAAGATGTCAATTCAATTTATTTGTACATCAAATAATTCTATTTTTTTCCTCTCAACATTTTTGACTATATTTCTTGTTGTCTTGATATTTTATCTTTATTTCATCACACAATGTTCAAAAAAAAAAAAAAAAAACTCAAGATTCTTTTAAGAAAAAATGAAATCAATCACAAGGACCGAAATAAAAATTTAATGAATAAGAACTAGGGGTAAATAAAATAAAAAAATAAAAAATAACTTTCGCAATTATTCCTTCCATTTTTTCCTTAAGGGTGTTTTGGTAATCAAAATTGCGACCATTATACAAACAGAGCAGGAAGAGCGATCGAGACTCGAGAGCGGCGGAGAAAAATGGCATCGAACGCAGCAGCACCATTCTGGAGATCAGCAGGGATGACTTACATAACCTACTCAAATCTCTGTGCTAATCTTGTTAGGAATTGCCTTAAGGAACCTTACAAGGCTGAAGCCCTTTCCCGTGAGAAGGTCCATTACTCCATCTCCAAATGGGCTGATGGCAAACCTCAGAAACCCAGTAAGCATTTTCACCCTTTTTTTTCTTCATTAATGCTGCCCAATAGTATAGATCTTTGTGCTGAAGGGATTTTATTGGGATCTCTGTGTGTGTGAGGTTAGAGTTTTGAGATTTCTTCTTACATTTATATTCATTTGTATTTAATCGTCCTGTTGAGGTTGTAAACAGTGTTTTGTATCTATACTCCCTCGTTAGAATGAGTTATATAATGCAATTGCAGATCGGATAGTTAGGTCAATAATTTCTTAGGTTGTGTTAATGTTTACTATTACTCTTTTATGTGGAAGTTGGACTATGACAAGCAGCGATAACAATATACCCAGTGTAGTGGGGTCTAGAGAGGGTGGTGTGTACGCATCTTCGTTCCTACCTTGTGAGAGGATGGAGAGGTTGTTTTTGATAGACCTTTGTTCAAATAACGCATAGAAAAGATAGTACAGCAAGGAAATGTGTATTGAAGAACCATGTAGAAAATATTGGAGAAAACAACAGTAGCAACAATGATAAAATGATAACCGAAACAAAAGAAACAAGAAGTAATAATAAAATTGAAGAATAAGGCAGTATGGGAGGAATAATGATAATGCTGAGAAGGAAAAATAGACAACGATCAACTAACAAGAATTTCTTATATTCGCTTTTAGCTTTTGAATCGAACGTTCAGAGTCTTCTAGTTTCTGTGAAGGGTGATGATAGTATGTCATTGAGACACACTTTCATCTTGCCTTTATTTCCACAAGGATACAGATAGTCTCCTTTGTCGTAATAAGAATACAAATGGATACCTTTATCTTCATGCGGATATAGATCAATGATTTTTCCCAACTATCTGCAAGGTCATATATCATAGCTCTTGACCATCGGTGATATTTATACTTTAATCCGTCAGCTATTGTCTACAAGCAACACCATATTTCTGCCTTTCACTCTTCTCCACTTAAATACCAGGCCTTTTTATACAGAACTGTCCACCTTAATTTTCCTGTTTCCTCTTGTAAATATCCTCACTGACAAGCTTTGGTGTGAAGTGTGGGGTTAGATGTCATCACAACTACTCATAGATAGCCATATCCCAAAAGGTCATTGTGTCCATGTTTAGGGGTAATAGGGAACAAAGCTAGGTCATTATCTAATACATTTGTTCGGCAATAAACTCAAACATGAAGGAAACATGTTCAATGATTGACCTTTATTAGATTGTGAGTCTTTTACTTTCTTGACCACAATAAACATGCATTCACTGCATGACTAAGATTCAATTTTCCTTGACGACTTAGTGCATTCGTTTTCCTTCCCTCATAGTACAAGGTCGGTTTTTCGAACTTTCTGTTTAGACAATAGCAGCAGATAAAGTAAGCAGAAAATTAAATGATGATGCTACCTGCCACTACTAGTTGATGTTAATATGTAGGCTTAATACTCATATGGTTCTAATTGAAGTTTATACATGTTAAAACTGATAAATCAGTTGAATCTGTCAAGAATAGTTGAATTGTAGTTTATCCATTTTCCAAAAAAAGAACTGTGTTTACATGTTGTATGTAGCACTGATACTATATTGATTGTTAGATAATATTTTGGTAACAATGGTATCATGTCTAGCCTGCACGTACTTTTGGTGAATTCACATGGTACATATTACACTTCCCATATAGATATTAAGTACGCCTTGCCTGCTTAGGTTTAGGTTTAAGTAGATGGGTGTATCCACATAGGAGACCTTAGTTCCCAAGGTTGTTACTCCTGTTCTTTGACCACTAGGCCATCCTCTTAGGGTCCTGGGTTATTGACTAATATTTGCCTCTCAAGATTGAACTAGCGAGGATGATGGTGGATGAAAAGCTTGCATGAAGGGAAAGGGGATGTGATATGTGGCCAATAAAAAAAAAAAAGTGAAGGCCATATGCTTGTATCCTATTGTCATTCTTTTTTTGGATGAAGACAATTATTCATTTATAATATGAGGAGAACCCAGCATACAAGTTGTAAATCCCATTGTCATTATACTCCTTTACTTTTTGCTTGGTGAAGAATACCAGAGTATCAGGTTCTTGTTTCAACATGATTGCAGTGTGTTCTTTTTCCATTTTTGCAAGAGTCAAAGGGTGGAGGATATAGAGTATAGGGTTCCGGTTGGCTGGTCCGTTTATGTGTTCATTGCATACTTTTTATCTTATTTTCATGGCAAAAGCTGCATCTTCGGTTTTCTAACAAATACTTCTGATGTTCTTTTTACAGCTCTCCGCTCTGATACTCCTGAAGATTGAGAAGAGGGGTGGATCTTGGGATTTGTTTTTGATGTTATATGAATTTTTGTACTGCCCTGGCACTGTACAGTGCTTGTCTCCTGGACCTTGCATTAGCTATTCATCTTCTAATAACAACATAGTAACTAGACTTTCTGGATTGAAAACAGCAAGCGTGATTCGATGATTAGCAATAATCTCTTGGCTGTAATGTCTTAAAAGCCAACACTCGTGTGTAATTCAAAAAAATTTAAGCTTTTGTTCTCAAGCATAACAAGTGATGGTTCTTCCTTTATCGCTGAAGTGTGTGTCGTAAAGTTATATTATACTTACATTGCCTAGTCTTATGCGAAATGAAGCATGATTCTAATACTAGTTGTGGCTCTAAAGCACAGAAGGGCTGCAGCGTGCTGTTCGTAAAGCTGAATTGAACTGTTTCTACTCTCTTGTTTTTGCTTAACTGCATGCTTTTTTGTTGAACTATTCTTTCTTTTCCTTTGCGTGGAATGTGAGAAGATGAAGAGGAAATAGACCTCTATGATCAAGTAGGCAACTTGCAGCGACTAAAACAAAAGTATGCTTTTACCAACCCACCCCAACAAAAAAGAGAGAAGAAATTACTGATTTTAGTCAATTCTACTTTTTTGTGGCTATAAAAGAAAGAAATTCCCCTATTGACTTGACGGTTAAGAAAGTATAATGCTAATACTTTTGACTCTTGTGTTGTTTAATGTATTAAAATGTTGTTAAAAAAAAGATATTTTGTAAACAGATTAAGAAGAGAAGTAATTCAAATAAATTGACACAGTAAAGTAATAATTGAGCTGGAGGTTAATGTATATTATAGAGTATATACTACTCTTTCAAGAATGACACATTTCTACCTTTAATAAGAATTTGCTTTTAAAATAAATTAGGAATAACAGAAACATGTAGTATGATTTATTTTAGACTACAAATTTCAATTTTTTTTTTATTTCTTTAATAACTTTCATGCAAAATTCAAACTAACTCATCAAAAATTGAAAGGCGGGAATACAATATCGCTACCTATCTTATAGTCTTTTACTTAAATTGGAAAAGTATAAATTTACAACTACAAATCTTTCAAAAAAAAATTAGAACCTTCTTCTTCCTCCCTGTCGCCGGCCTGTTGACGCTTCACGGACGGATTTTTCTATGTATTTATGTCTCTACTATTATATACACTATGATTCGATTCGCCGACTGGTTGTTTTCTCTGGTATATACAATCAACTGCAATTTTCCTTCTATTATACACTATGATTCGATTCGCCAACTGATTGTTTTCTCTGGTATATACAATTAACTGCAATTTTCCTTCTGTATGTGCTTTTTCTTGTTTTTTTTCCTCCCACATTTTGTGAGATATTTGATCTGGGTTTCTTATATTGTTTGTTTTTTATATTATTTTGCTCAATTAGGCCCCCCCTTATGTGTCTGAGCATCTTACATTTGATTCATTGAGGTAATGTTAGTAAAATTATCAACTAATTTAAGTTATGGGTTTACTGAAATTTAACCCAAATTATGATTTTATCAGCTGTATACAGTTGGCTCTTTTTTTCAAGTGTTTGAGATGGGATCTGTAGGGGACAAGCTAGACCTTGAATCTGATGAGGAGATCCCCTTTAGTTCATCTCATGCTACAAATAAGACAGAGAGTTTGCAGTTTGAGTCAGCTCATATGGCATCGCCTAGAAGTTTTTACTTGTCGAGAGTCTTGAGGAAGATGCATCAGATCAGCTATTTTAGGAGTATATACATTGTGATGCTCAAAGCAAAGATCAATGTTTTGCTTCCTTTTGGACCATTGGCGATACTGCTACACTATCTTACGAAAAAACATGTATAAAGTCTCAAGCTTTTGCCATTTACCTCAATTGAACTTTCTCTTTTTTTTTCTTACTTTATTTATTGTGCTTTTCTTTGGGTTCATCTTGATATTTCAGGAGTTGGTGTTTTTCTTCAGTTTGGTGGGCATTACACCCTTAGCTGAGCGTTTGGGCTATGCGACTGTGTATGCTTATGCTTTCAAGTTATTCAGTTCTCCTCTACTACTATGTTATTTTACATGCTCATTGACTTCTTTGATTGTCATGACACAGGCAGCTTGCATTCTATACAGGGCCTACAGGTAGCTATTATCTTTTGGTAGTTTTGCCATTTTCTTGATCTTTGTTTCTATTATTGAGGAACTTTTCACCGTTGGGATTACTTATGGAGAGTATTAAGTTGAGGCACCCAAGAGTATGGCATTGTGGTCATTAAATTGGGTTGAGAACCATGAGGTCTGAGGTTCAAATCCTGGCAGAGACAAAACACTAGATGATTTCTTTCCTTCTACAAACTTTGGTGAACAGAGTTCCCGGTACCAGTGTTGGTGGGAAGCAGTAGGTACCCATGAAATTAGTCTATATGTAAGTAAGTTGTCCGAAGAATTAAGTTTTGCTTGTTTAATCTTAGTGTTTAAGTTGAATGTGAGTTCAGTCAGAATAATGTGAAAATGTGAGCTAAGTTTTGTTCTCACAGTGAAATTGAGTCATCAGGAAATTGAAACCCCTTGAAGTAACTTTTTGGATATTATCCTCCTTGACTTGAGTCACTAGATAGGATTTTCTTGTTCCCTATTTAAATGGTTCTATGGTTTTCCTGTTCTTCTGTTGTTCTCATTGCCTTTGCTGGAAGTGTTTTAACATTTGCATTTACTCAAAGAGCTACTTGTCTTGTTGATATCTTGTGTGAGACATAATTCCCCCTCCCCCCACTACACTTCTTTTGATTTATCAGAATGACTTTTCCTTATTTTTGATGTATAGTTGGGGGCCTTCTAAATGCTACATTTAATGCGACTGAAATAATAGTGTCATTATATTCATTGAATAATGGGATGATGAGGGTTGTTAAACAATCCTTGCTGGGTTCCATTTTATCAAATATGCTTTTGGTGCTTGGATGTGCCTTCTTCTGTGGTGGGATAGTTCATCAGAAAGTCCAGGTTTTCAGTAAGGTCATTATCTTCTGATCAATCATGTCCTCACCAAATGTGCAATGAAGTTAGCACATTTGTCTTTTGTGAATGTTGATGCTTCAGTGGAATTAATTTCGTATTATCTCAGCACCAATGTGCTCTCTCTAATGTTATATGCTAATGCTAATGAAAATCTTTATATTGCAGGCAACTGCACTTGTGAACTCAGGATTGTTATTGATGGCAGTCATGGGCTTATTATTTCCTGCTGTACTTCATTTCACCCACACAGAAGTGCATTTTGGGAAGTCAGAGCTGGCTCTTTCAAGATTTAGCAGTTGCATAATGCTGGTGGCATATGCAAGTTACCTATTTTTTCAGCTCAAGAGTCAACCAAATCAATATAACTCAATCGATGAGGTAAATTGCTGAAAATCTTGGAATAGGTTGATAGTTTATTTCCTCTATTATTCAGCTTGTATTTCTCCGAGGTCATCTGCAGTAATAGCTATTGACACTGTACATCCTATCTAGTAATCAGATGCCTGTTATGAAGGATATAGGTTTGCAGCAGATTTCAGTTTTTCCAGATAAATTTGTTCCATGATATGTGATTTTAATACCAACTTATGTTACTGCAGGATGTATTAGTTTGTTTCTAATTATTCTCTGATATCTGAACAGGATAGAGAGAATAATGCTGAAAATTCTGATGAAGAAGAGGCTCCCGAGATAACACAATGGGAAGCTATAGGGTGGCTTGCTATTTTGACAGTATGGATATCTGTGCTATCTGGGTATCTTGTTGATGCCATAGAGGTAACCTTTCCTTTCCTTTTGATTTATTAAATTTTTTGGCCCATGCCCTATTTAATCGATTGGAGAGGCTAGGATTTTCTTGAAGTTGAATGCTAATATCCGTGTGCTAACCTACAGAAGTTTTACCTTGAGATATTAATTAATACGTGTCATAGTTTTCCTTCACCTTATCTTTTCTCCTTTTTTGGTAATTGATTATCAAAAGCTATATAAACTTTGCTTAAGTTCTTTTGACTTCGATTTTTTGTATGTTCTTCCTAATTTGTTCGTGTGGCTAATATTATTTCAGGGAGCATCCGACTCAATGAACATGCCTGTGTCCTTTATTAGTGGCATCTTGCTTCCAATTGTAGGAAATGCTGCAGAACATGCAAGTGCAATCACGTTTGCAATGAAAGATAATCTTGTGAGTTCTTGAAAAACCATATTCATCATCTCATTTGCCCAGAATAGGTTACTCAAGGAGTACTGATTGCAGGACATTACACTTGGAGTTGCGATTGGGTCCTCTACTCGGATATCAATGTTTGTGGTAAGGTCTTATAATTTGATGCATTAATCATCTGAACTAGCTTATAGAAATTAGCCAATAACAAAGAAAATTAGTTCTTATTTTTTATTTAAATTCATATAGGCCGTCCTATGAACATACTGGATTTTTGTTTGTGTAATTTGTCCTTTTTGGTTGGTTATTAGTGGTGTAGTTAATTTGTAATTATCCAAAATTTATAATAGAGCTTGGTGTGCCATGTGGAAGGAGAGAAATGGGAGGTGTTTGAAGACAAGGAAAGCTCTATTCATATGATCAAGAATTTTATTTTATTTTTGGTGTAAGCAGAATTGTTATAGTGAGCCATGGAATTGATAGAGCTGATAAGTTCTGTCTAAGGAGAGAAGGGACATACTTTGTGATATTAATCTGTAAATACTTTTCCTTGCACCTACTAGGTGCTATTTAAGTATTTATTAAAAGATCATGATAGAGCTTATAAATCAAGTTGCTTATTCGTAGATCTCATGCTTTTGATGATGCAGATTCCATTTTGTGTTGTTGTTGGTTGGTTCATGGGAAAACCAATGGACTTGAACTTCCAATTGTTTGAGACTGCTACACTCTTTATCACAGTGCTAGTCGTGGCATTTATGCTGCAGGTTCATCTTCTAACTTGCATCCTTTTGGCACATCTCCTCCCCCCCTGCAAATCAGACAATTGAATAAAATAGATGATGTTGTTCAGTCTACTCTCTACCATAGACTACTCAGCCACGAAAGGCTTGATACCAACTATAATTGTTGCTTTACACGATGCAGGAAGGAACATCAAACTATTTTAAGGGGTTGATGCTTATCCTATGCTATCTCATTGTTGCAGCAAGTTTCTATGTACATGTTGATCCATCCAAAGGTTAGTTCCCAAGGTTGTTACTCCTGTTCTTTGACCACTAGGCCATCCTCTTAGGGTCCTGGGTTATTGACTAATATTTGTCTCTCAAGATTGAACTAGCAAGGATGATGGTGGATGAAAAGTTTGCATGGAGGGAAAGGGGATGTGATATATGGCCAATAAAAAAAAGAAGTGAAGGCCATATGCTTGTATCCTATTTTCATTCCTTTTTTGGATGAAGACAATTATTCATTTATAATATGGGGAGAAGTGAGAACCCAGCATACAAGATGTAAATCCCATTGTTATTATACCCCTTTACTTTTTGCTTGGTGAAGAATACCAGAGTTTCAGGTTCTTGTTTCAGCATGATTACAGTGTGTTCTTTTTCCATTTTTGCAAGGGTCAAAAGGTGGGTTGGCTGGTCCGCTTATGTGTTCATTGCATACTTTTTATCTTATTTTCATGGCAAACAAAAGCTGCATCTTCGGTCTTCTAACAAATACTTCTGCTGTTCTTTTTTACAGCCCTCCGCTCTGATACTCCTGAAGATTGAAACCGAGGGTGGATCTTGGGATTTTTTTTTAATGTTATATGAATTTTTGTACTGTCCTGGCACTGTCTCCTGAACCTTGCATTAGCTATTCATCTTCTAATAACAACATAGTAACTAGACTTTCTGGATTGAAAACAGCAAACGTGATTCGATGATTAGCAATAATCTCTTGGCTGTAATGTCTTAAAAGCCACAACACTCGTGTGTGATTCAAAAGTTCTCAAGCATAACAAGTGATGGTTCTTCCTTTATCGCTCAAGTGTGTGTGTAGTAAAGCTATATTATACTTACATTGCCAAATTGAACTGTTTCTACTCTTTTGTTTTTGCTTTACTATTCTTTCTTTTCCTTTGCGTGGAATGTGAAATTCTGAGATTGCCTTGGAAAATAAGATATGAGAGGAAATAGACGACCTCTATGATCAAGTTGGCAACTTGAAGCGAGTAAAATAAAAGTATTATGCGTTTACCAACCCACCCCAAACAAAAAAAGGGAAGATGATTTTAGTCAATTCTTTGTGGCTATAAAAGAAAGAAATTCCCCTATTGACTTTGACGTTTAAGAAAGTAATACTAATACTTTTTGAATCTTGTGTTATTATCTATGTTTAATGTATTAAAATGTCGTAAAAAATTTAATTTAAATAAATTGACCGGTAAAGTAATTAATAAATTGAGATGGAGGTTAATATATTTATTATAGAGTATACTACTCCCTCCATTTCAAGGTTAATATATATATATATATATATATATATATATAT